TGCCCGGTAAACTGTAGGCAGAGAGGGAGAAGAGGACAACAAACGAGGGGCTGTGACAAACTGTTTCATCGGAGTTTCACCGACTCATCAGTAGGCTGAACCCTATATCTCTTCTCTATACTCTTAAAGGAAGCAAAGGGCCGGGCGTGACGCCTCCCGCYGGGCCCAGCGAAAACCAGTGTGGAGGGGCGCGGGACTTGGGAGGCGTGCGGGACTCGGGCAAGGGAAATTCGGCGCGGAGTTTCGTGGATGCGGGSGGGCATGGCGCAAGGAAATTACGGCGCGCCGTTTCGGGGCGGTTCCGAGCGCTGTCCTGTGTGAGTGCGGAAATGCGGTGTGGTGCCGAGCGCTGCCATGTGCGATCGTGAAAGTGCGGTGCGCTACCGAGTGCTGCCGTGTGTGACCGCGAAAGCGCGGTGCGGTACCGAGCGCTGCCGTGTGTTTGGCGGAGGGGGAGCGGGAGGGGGAGGAGGAGGAGGAGGAGGAGGAGGAGGAGGGGAGGATTGGGAGGAGCAGGAGAAGGAGCGGGAGGAGGAGTGGGAGAAGGAGCGGGGAAGGAGCAAGAGCGGGGCTATAGCGCGGGAAGAGGAGCGGGAGAAGCAGGGGGAGGAGGAACGGGGGAAAAAGTAGGAGAAGCAGCGGGAGGAGCAGCAAGAGGGGGAGCGGGAGAAGGAGAGGGAGGAGCGGGAGGAGAGGGAGGAGGAGCGGGAGAAGGAGCGGGAGCAGGGCTATGGTGGGATCTTTGTCACGTTGTTTGGCGGAGGAGGAGCGGGGGGACGAGGAGCGGGAGGAGGAGCGGGAGGAGGAGTGGGAGAAGGAGTGGGAGAAGGAGGGGGAGGGGATTCGGGATGGGGTTGCATCTCACAGCCCCTTACTCCATACTCTCCTTCTCAATTTGCACATTCGAAGGCTGCTCAGTTCATGCACACATGACGCGTCGATATCGAAAAGGGCGGCGATGGAAAGATGTGATGGATGAGGGAGGATCAAGGCAGTAGGAGGGAGGAGGAAGAGGGAGAAAGACATTTGGGGCATGTGGCAYGTGTGCGCTCAGAGCAGGAAGGGTGGGAGAAAGAGGGAGGATGGAGAGGGAGAAGCATGTTTGGGCCGATCGCAACAA